TTCTGGTCACGCATCGCACGGGGTTCTTTTCCTTCATTGTTACTAAACAGCTGCCCCTTGTTTTCGGACAGGAATGCAGTTGAAAATATGAGATGGGAAGAGCAAAGCAAATTTGATGCTAGGGGATGACTTCAAAGCGACGTAAATTTGATGAACAGCAGATCGCTTTGGTTCTTCCATAATGAGCTATTGAAATTTTAAAATCCTCCTGAATCGTGAAAAGAGTAAATTATTTATGTCCATGATGAACTATGTCCAGATTTAGTTCGCCGATGCATCTGAAACATTCATTCTGTACAGTGATTGCAGGATTCGCAGGATCGAATAATGGGTTGATTTAAAAACTCTTCATCTAGAGCGAAACCTGCCTGACTACAACAAACTGGAGAATATCGTAGAGATTATTAATGGCTACAGAGCAGCAATAAAAGTTGAATATTAATCTACATGCCCAGCCCGATTTTGTGAATAACCGTGCCTTAGAAACGGATTTGCATGAGACAAAATAAACGTTAACTTCAACGATGCACAGCTACAGTAAAATGAATTTGCGAATCACGTCAGCCGTACCGACTGTACTACAGCTACACTGCGGTGCAGAGACAAGAAGTTGCCATTGCTTCTTCATTTGCTCTCGTATATTTCGCTACTTTTATCTACTGCTATTGATAGACTCCGGCTCATGCGAAAAAGACCACGGTTAATTGAGCCTAACGTTCAGAAAAGAGGTTAAGGCAGGGCACCTTCACATCCAACATTTAAGAAGGGCAGGGTCGATATGGTCTTGTGAAAAGCTGGAAATGGTAGAATAATAAATTAGGGCTTTAATTTAGTGCGCATCGCACTAGGTTTCGGTTTCAGCGTGAGAGGCTCAAAATTTGGAGTGAACGGTTAACCTCCGATCCTCAGAATCAAAATGCCTGAAGGTTCGGAAGCCCCTCATTGTCATAAGACATATTTTCATTAATGTAATTACGGAAACGACATAGGAAGTGCTAAGCTGATACACGCCAAACACTTTTCATTGGGAGAGGAGCCCGATGGCCAGCGATCCTCCTCAGTGCCTCGAACTTCCTCTCCTAGATTTTGCCCTGTGCGAAGCGTT